GGGAATTCTAAATATCAAATTACTTTGGACCTTATGACCTCCTCAAGGTCATAAGGTTCAGCTGATGACGGCTCCGCTCGAGGAGGACCGGTGTGATGGTGCTCGTTCCTCAGAGAGGAATACAGCTCCTCGGCAAACTGTCGAGCTGCGGTCAGCTGGTCCTGGACTGTACTCGGCAGACCTTTAGCACTTGAAACCACGCTGGCACGTGCCTTATGACCTCCTCAAGGTCATAAGGTCAAATTTTCATACTGTCTTTTGTTTCAAACGGCTTAATTCTTTTGCCTTTGTTTGTCCTGGCAACATTTACATTTCACATCTGCCTGTCTGTCAAGTTGATCACAAAATGTGTGTGTTAAAGACATTATTGTCAAAAGAAAGGGAATGAGCTGCCTAGTTAATTAGAAATGTATTATATGATATAATCTCTATGAATAATGTCCAGTTACATACAGATCAATCCACGATCTGCTCCTAGATAATGTTTGTCTTTACTGCACTAAAAACTTGTTGAAGTACATTTAAAAAGAACAAAGAAAACAATATTAATATATCCCCTTAAATAAATGCTGCCCAGAGAGTGAGCTTGCTTGGCATAGGTTCGCACTCTGAGAGCTTTTTATTTACTTTCCACCGTCATTTCCTTCTGTGTCATTGTTGTGCTGTTTACATTTGGACTGTCCCGTTATCATAGCTTTACATTTTGTTCATTTGGTTTTTGTTTCCACTTACATTCACAGCAGCTTGAAAGGCATACCCTCTCTATGGTGCGTGGTCTGAGCGACCAGCTGCGGTCGGCGTGTGCCAGCGTGGTTTCAAGTGCTAAAGGTCTGCCGGGCAGAGTCCAGGACCAGCTGAGCGTGGCTCGACAGTCTGCCGAGGAGCTGTATTCCTCTCTGAGGAACACGAGCACCATCACACCGGTCTTCCTCGAGCAGAGCCGTCATCAGCTGAAACGAGTACGCATCATGCTTTGCTGTCTTTACTGCTCCAGCTGTGCAGCTGCTTAATTAAATGTATATTAGGTACACCTTGCTACTGCTGTGTTGAACAGTCTTTTTTTTTTTTTTGTTGGTGTTGGTACAAGGCCTAATTACTGGTATTTGAGTTACTGTTGCCTTCATGTGAGCTCAACAGTCTGGCAGCAAGGTCTGGTTATTTTCCTGTGACATCACCAGGCATTTTTATCTGGAGAACTGCTGTCTTACACATTGGTCCAACAAATAAATTAATAATATTATCCATTCTTAATCCTGGATATGGTCGTGTAGGAAAAGCCCAGCAGATCAGCAGTTTCTAATCATCTTTCTTTCCCATTCTGATGTTCCATCTGAACCTCAGCAGGTCGTCTTGACCACATTGAAATGCAGAGAGTGGCTTCCATGTGATTAGCTGATTAGCTATTTGCATTAACAATCGGCTAATAAAGTGGCTAGTCAGTGCAACTAATTTGTTTTCAATCTGTGATGGTGCTCAGTATTATTTCAGATCATTTATCCTCTTATTAACTGTACATTTTTATTAAAACTGTACTGTGTGTGTGTCCATCCCAGGTTCAGACATCTGTGGATGGTGTCATGGACTATCTACTGCACAACACGCCGCTCAACTGGCTGGTGGGACCGTTCGCTCCTCAGATCACTGAGCATGCAGAGGGCGACGTGGCAGAGAAGGCCGGACCAAACAAGTAGACGCGAAGACTTCCTATGCTCCTCTGAGATGATTCAAAGTGATGTTAGGGGACTATTTCTAGATGTTGATGGACCAGCTCAAAATAGGTGCCATAATATTCATGAAAAGCTCTCATCATCATAATCCTATCGGTTTTTGACACTACATTTATCATGCAGAAGTTAAAATCTAAAATGTGGCCTTACAAAATCATGGTTTTGCACTTTATTATTTATGGTAGATTTGTTGGGTTTTTGTTTTTTTTTTTGTTTGTTTTTTTCAATCTCTGAAAGATTAATCTATGTCTGTAAACATTTTTGTTTGGAAGGAATTCAAAACCTTCCCAAAACAAAGTAAAATCTAGTGGCGTATAGGGAAAAATAATATAGAAAAGACATGAGGACATCCTGAATCAGATGCATTTCATTTGTTTTCAAATTTTACCTTCAGTATTCTCTTTCTGGAAAGAGTTAATTTTCAGTAAACTGATATGTAAATAAATTTCTAACACTGCAGAATCATGTATGAGCGAGTGACTCTTTATTTATGTTTGGAAACAGCCTCACACACAGGTTAGAAAAAGGAGATGGTGTCAAACAGAAAAATGAGGATAAAAATAAGTCTAGAGAGATTATTTGTTTTGTGAAGAAGAAATGATTGATTTCCCTGTTTCATCACAAAAACAAGTATTTTTGTGGCTGTGGAACCGAAGAAGCAGCATTAGATCAATAACATAAAACAAATTAACTGTAACATTAAAACTCCTAAATAAAAAGGCCAAAGTCAGGGATCGTGTCCACAAAGGGACTGGGGCCGAACGATGCTGTTCTGACCTTGTGTGTGATGATCAGCTGTGGTGGAGGTGGTGTAGGTGTAGTTTGCTGTGCTGGCCCGTCGCTCTGAGGGCTGACACTGGCGGTGACGTCATGGTCGTTGTTTCGAATGTCGGGAGCTAGCGCTGGGTAGGAGGCCGCGCGCTCTGCTGGGGACACAGCTCACTCAAATCTGAACCCCTCCGTCGTCGACAGCCGCCGATTAACTACGTTTCAGGTAATGTCTTCATCCCCGACTGATTCGGCAGATTCCCGGGATGTGGTACCGGTCATAAACCCAGCCGGGACGCTGTTGGGAGGCGCTCTAGTTTTGGGTTGGCTGATTGCGTTAGCAACTCGGCTAACAGATAGCCCGCTAACACTAGCGTTTATTCGATTGAAAAGCCGCGATCTGCGTATAGTTCGTCACCAAGGACGCTGTAGCATTTAACTTTCGTATTTTTCACGATGACACAGGGCCACCGGTTAAGTTTCGTCCTTCCTTTTACACCGGTATGCAGTGTCAGACAGACCAAACGTCCAGCGAGGCTGTTTGCTAATGTTTGCTGTGAGCTATTCAAGCACAGGACGCCAATTGTTTTCTTGTGCGGACAAACTCGGACTGGGAACAGCCAGCTGGAAGTTGTTCGGCAAAACTGCACGCAGCGCAGTTTTAACGTTAGCCAGCGCGTCGGTATTTAGGGTTTCGTACTGACGGGGTTTTTGTTTTATTCTTGTTGTCGTTTTCACAACTTTCTCCATGACCAAAAACGTCTTGTGCGGCGGAAGAAAGCGTGAAACAGCTGAGTTAGCGCATGTTTCACACACCGTCATTTACCTTCTAGGGTGTGTGTGCGGCTCTTTGGACCCTTTGTTTCCGTCACCGTGCACAGCTCTCCGTGTTTGTTCAAACTAATCCCACAGCTTCCTACTTTTAAAACTCGTGCTTGCTTTGATGTTGTAAGAGGTGCAGTACATTCGGCGATCAGTTTCACTGTTTCACTATTGCTGCTACGTTTTTGTGTTTTCTAATAATTTTGAAGCATAGTTTATTTATTAGTATTTTCAGTGTGCCAAAGTCCAGGCCTAATTTTGCAGTAATCGTGGACTTTGGCCTTCAGAAGTTGGGGTTGGTCTTAATTTTGGTTTATGAAGTTTATAAAACTGCGACAGACCTTCATTACAGCTGCAAGTAGTGGACCATAACCTTTAATTCACAAAGACCTCTTTTCCACTTGTCCAGTGCCTAATCTAGAGCTGGTTCAATGCATTCCAGTAAAGGGGGGGAGAGGGATGACTACTTTCTGTGCCAGAAAAGTGTGAACCAGCTCAGCGCTGCAAATTTACTGGTTGTAAAAGTTGGAAGGGGCTTTAGCTAGAAAGTAACAGTATTTGCCAAATAAGCCCCAGGATTTGTCTGCTGTGATTGTCTTTTTTCTTTAAGCTATGTAACAATCAGTCCTCAAGCCTTTCAGAGCTGGACTGGCTCTGTGTCGGTGCAAAAGAGGTAAAAGAAGTCATGATGTGCTCAAACTCTACTCTCATGCTGCAATGCCAATCTCCAAGCTCTTTTAGCTCCAACCTAAAAGCTTTGTAATCAAACAGGGACTGCTAATTATTCTCACTAACTTCTGCAACCCCATTTTCAGGATTATCCTCTCCCATCCCCCTTACCCCCTCTGTCAGAGCATGGCTCAGGAGACCAATCAGACGCAGGTGCCAATGCTTTGCACTATGGGATGCGGTTTCTATGGTAACCCCCGCACCAACGGCATGTGCTCGGTCTGCTACAAGGAACACCTGCAGAGACAACAGGGAGGGGGGCGGTCCAGCCCCCCTGGAGAGAAAGGTAGGAAGATGGGAGAGACATGACCTATAAAAAGCAGGGGTCTGCTGGATAAGGGTGTACCAGGTGAATAAGTCAGGAGCTTTTAAATGGGAGTCACTCAAAAAGTGCACTGGAAATAGGTAGCCGAACTAGCTAAAAGGGGCTGGAGAACAGAGGTAGCATTAGCTGCCTACACTGTGGCATCAGAAAGCAAGAGAGTTACATTGCCATCTGTTGTTGTACATTAACTCAAAGTGCATCTGATCATGGTAAACAAATACATGTAGGGAATGTCAAGACGCTTAGAAGCAAGTGGAAAGTCATCCATGTGTGAGGCAACAACAGATTTTTGTGTCATTTGTGGTATCTGACTGTCCTCCTCCCCCCTCCCCGACACACATATACATGCACACAGCTGCTACTTCACCAGCGGGATCACCAGGATCGGCCGGTGCAACTGTGGAGAGCACAACCTCAGAGCCCAGTACAGAGGTGGCAGGAACCCCACCTGAGGAACAAACAACCAGGTATGCTGAGTTACGCGTAGAAAATCACCGAGAGCCGTGTTGTTTCATTGAGTCATTGTGAATCAGTGTTTTAGATGTGATTCATCAAGGAAAAATATACTCCGTGTTGGCTCTTTGACTAGTCCAGTCAGTTCATGCTAGTACAGCAGCTTGCCTCTGCAGAAGGCAAAGTGGGTAAGCAGTTGTGTGCATATTTATTTATGAAAACAAAACCTTCTATCACCATGGTGCAGTCATTTTCTGGGTGAAAACATTTTTACCTTACCCTGACGACCCTAACCTTCTAGTAAGAACTTTTCAGCTGTTTCAATTTGCACGTCGACATTGACAGGTGAGGTTGTGATGAGCTTCTGATCATTATCAAAAGCCAAATTAAGTGTACGATGGGCTGTGTTGTCATTGACACTGGAAGAAAATTAGCTAGAGGATGGTGTAGTTTAAAACTTAGCTTGAGGCCCTGTTCTGAAAAACTGCAGCGTAATGCTGAATAATTTTTTGCTGGCCAAGTTCTTTTTCTGCTATTCGGCGTTTTGATGGGCCTCTTTTATAATTTGCTTTAACTTTACCATTGGGCTAACCTTTTTAAATGTTAAAAATGGATTTAATTCATGCCATTGTGAGGAAAGTGCGATAGGTAAGAAAAGTTCTGCGGTTTTATATTGCAGCGTGTGCACTGGATCTGTTTCCTCCCGAAGGGGACAAAACCAAAGCAAAGAGTACCAAGATAAATTTAATCATTTCAATTTTTTTTTTTTGTTTTTGTTGTGGTTTTTTTTTTTTTTTCCAGTATTTTTATTTAATCTAAACTGAAATTTGCTGACTTGATTTGATGCCCTGTTAGTCCCAGCTCCACCAGCCCAGTAACTCAACAGATGACAGCTATGAGCATCTCCCAGGATTCAGGAGCTGTGGATTCTGATCGAGCAGAAGCCGAGGAGGGTGAAGAGGAGGGTACTTCAAACAGCACAGGTAAACATCGTAGAAAGCAGTAGTTCATTCCCTACCCACCGTCCACACAGTCGGCCCTACTCAAAGCAGAGAAGGACACTATTAAGAACTGCTGCGTGAATAAACAATGGGACGCACTCACCACCCTGTTCCGGGAGCATGCCTGAAGTGATAAACACAATATGCTCTGTGATGGTTTTTCCCGTTTTATTTCATTTTGCCTTCTGCTTTGTGGCATGTTCTGTGTTACAGTCAAGTAAGGAAATCGTGCCAGTGTTTTTACGAGTTTAAAATAATATTTTATAAAGCTTAAGTTACGGCCTCTGACCCGGCTAGAATATTTGATTGGTTGAAGTTAATTGTGTTGTCTTTTGTACATGTGCATAAATAAACATACAGCTGTTTTACATACGGTTGCTTTGTTTTTCCCCACCAGAGCCAGTCGGGGAAGCTGCGCAGGCTTCGTCTGATGGCGACCAGACTCCTGATAAAAACAAGAAAAAGAATCGCTGCTTTTCTTGCCGGAAGAAAGTAGGACTTACTGGTAAGTGAAGGAAGAATTTCACTCAAGTTTCTTATCTTTTTATCCAGTGTTTTATGAGTCGGCAGGGGTTCCTCACCCCCAATAAGACATTGATTTGGCACACGGATGTATGTGGTGCAATGTCAAAGACATCTTTAATATTCTTCGTCTGCAGACCTTTTGAAGCTAAACCTGTTTTTAAAGGACAATAATGACAGCTGCACACAAATGATTCATATGTGCATTTATTCTGTGATGATCGCTTATGTACAGCGAGCGACATTCTGCACTTAAGTGATACATTTCACAGTGTGCAGCTCGGTCCTTTTTTTGCCTCATAGGAGACTGTGAGACTTAATAGCAATGATTATATATCAGCTTAATTGAGACCACATCCTGACTTAGCATGTAAAAATGGGCAACATCATCAAGGCCCAGTTAAACTGAATTTAATTAAAACCTTACACAGGGCAGTGTAAGAATAAGTCTGTAAAATAATCAGGATGTAGTAGGACTGGGTGATGCATTTCTTTCTTTCTTTTTCAATATAGCCTCAGTCTCCCTCTGTACCTCGAGCTGACTCTGTTTTTCTGCAGCTTGGAGAGAGACACAAGGCTGTTCCCAACAATGAAAAATAACTCTTTAGTTTACGGATAGACAGCATGAAAACTGAGTTTTCATAATGTGTGTGTGTGTAACCAAAGCTTATTAACTTTTGGAAATGGAACGCTAAAAAGAAGTCGGTGAATTTTACCTCCCAGAAGTTGGAAAATCTGAACCAAGTCATGTGGTGAGATTTACCGACCTAACAAGGCAGCAGTCAAGGAACAATTGCCGTGTTTTTTTAAGGTCAAATGAATGTTTTTGTCAGTGGCGTCTTAGTAGTCTGGTCTGATGGGAGGTAATGCATCTAATATGCTGTATATAAACCCAAACATATGTGGGTTTTACTGCTGGCCCTATCTACTGCAGCACATAGTTTCCTTGCTGCTCTGTCCTCTTGTCTGCTCTAAACACACTGATTTGAGGTCAGCACCCGAGAAATGAAACAATCCCAAATTGAAGAAAATAGCCATTCTGCCCCAAAATAATGAGATGTGAGTTTTGGTCTCTGGTGTCCAGATACATGTGATGTCTATAATAAAGCGTCCAAGTTTAATTGCTTCTTTTTCCTCAAGGTTTTGACTGTCGCTGTGGCAACCTGTTCTGCGCCATCCATCGTTACTCCGACAAACACGACTGTCCCTATGATTACCGGAGCGCAGCCGCTGCCCAGTTACGCAAGGAGAACCCCATCGTAGTGGCTGAGAAGATTCAGAAGTTATGAGGACTGAGAGCAAAAAAGAAGTTTCTGACTTTGTGAATTTGAACAATGGCGACTTGGATGAAAACACCTGATATCGTGGCTTCATTTGTTCATGGTAGTGTAAAGCGGGCGGGGTGGGGGTGGTGCGGTCGCAGCCACAGTCCAGACACTTCCCTTACTAGCATCTCCCTCTCTCTCCACTTGTGACTGCAGCGCGCGCGTGTGTTTGTATGAAAGTGTGTGTGTGCGTGCACATTTGCTTGAGAGCTGGGGAGAGAGCCATGAGGGCTTGGTGGACATTTGTTTTGCCGTGGGAAGGGCAGGAATTTGATTTTTACCCCTTTTGTTTTTTTTGTTGTTGTTGTTTTTCCACTTAGCGGGATCGTGTGAGTGTATTTTTTTATACAATCCCTGTAGGTAGCTGAAATGAACGAGGATAAGCTGTTAAGGAATGTGTCAATCGGGATAATGACGGAAACACATTTAGGGGGTCTAGTGACACATGTATCAGCAAGACCTTTAAGGGCTTTGGAATATAGTATTTTATCCCAGACTGAAAAATGATGTCAACTACTTGTCAAATTGGCAACTCCAAAGTCTGAGTTTTCCACATGCGTCTCTCTTTGATATGTAGGCCTGTATGGATACTGGGTGCATGAACAGTCATTGGAAGGGGAAAGCCGGGGAGGGAAACAAACAACCTTGACTTAACTGTGTGATTGAATTCTTTTTTTTCTTCTTTATTTTAATGAGCGTATGACATCAGAAGATCTATATTAATATATTGTAGTTAGCTTGAATTGTGTGATTGCATTCTATTTATTTTTTATCGTTTGGTTGGTCTGTGCTGGAGGATTGGCAGCATGTGTCCGCGAATCTTTAACGATTTGCTCTTAACTTTTTCTTCGATTATATTTAAGTAATTCCATCCTGATTATGTAACCAGTGAAGAAGAAAATGCGCGCCCAAGCTCTGACGCGACGGAGCGGAGCCCGGCCGAGCCGCTCGGAGGGAGCGAGCGCAGTAGGATGTCAGTGATTAAGGCTTTGGGTATGAAGCACAACGACGTATGTCCGCTGCAGAGCACAAGCTACGGTGCCACGCCCGCTCAGTTTTGTTCAGCATTCGGGTCACTTGCAGTTTATATCCGAGCTGTATCGCAGCCTTGCTGATGAAATTGCCTTGTCGAGTTGCTGAGATTTTCTTCTTCGGTAAGGCGGCACGCTCGCCTCGAATGACCTTTTATGTTCTTCGGAGCCGGTATGAAGCTCCACGTTTCTCCTACCACCAGCAGACCACTGACACATGCTGAATGAAAACTGACCCGGGTCGCAGTTGCTCTCATAGACGATGACGTACGTTCTGCTCAGCGTTGCAGTGCTGCAGAGTTGCGTGCTGTGCTTTTACAGTGTGCTCAGACTGCTTCTAGCTAGCTTCTTCTAGGAAGATCAGTCCCACGTGCATGTGTGCAGTCAAACACGCGTTGCTGTTTTGTGACTGCGTAGTTTGAAATGAAGCTGGAATGTTTAAAAAGCCGCACAGCAGTAGCACAATGCATGGCCGGAACCGTAAGGTTCCCATTAACAGGACTCTGTTTTTTTTTTTCCTCAAATGTAAATACCATACAGCTCCTCTTCTTATAGTATAACCTCAATGTAGATTTTTGCCAGGTAATAAAGGTGGGGAATTAAGGCAACAAATAGTACTCTCTGTATTAAAGTGCTTTTCATAATTATCCGAAAAAAATGTGCTACAACTAGCACTGATGTTTTCCCCATCTTGTTTCCTCATTAATTTTTCAGGTTTTTACGTGTAATGTTCAAATTGTTTAATAACCACTAGTATCCCCTGCAGGCCACATGGTTTCTATTTTACCATACTAGCTACACTCTTAACCAGCCCCCCCCCCCCCCCGAGCTATATTAACGTTGCTGAATAACAGAGTATCTCAGTCAGTGCTTTTATCCTGTTACTGATTTGTAGCAATAGCGATATTACTGAAAGTTTAAAGGGCCCCAAGCAAGAAATAGAGGGTTCATCTTTTCATTATTAAAAGCTTTCCCTGTAAATGTTGCTTGATGCGGTTCATTATATATTAATGAAAGCTGGAGAAAAGTTGCATTTGAATTTTCAGAGAATGCAATTTAAAAAATAATCCACCGCAAAAGGCGAGGGAGTGGAATGACACTCATCCGTGTGTCGGCTTAGTTCTGCCTCTTCTGATTGAAAAAGAGCCTTCGTGGAGTCTTTGTGTTAATGGCCGACTTGGCATGCCAACGGCGAGACGCTTTGCCGTGGATGAGTTGAGCCCGTAGTGACGGTGATTTAACTTCTTCCAGCGTCACACCTACAGTGTAAATTTCAAATTGAGAAGGTGTTAACTGTGATGTTCAGGGGGACGAGTGGTTGGTGCTGCTCTGCAGTTCGTTGTGTTTTAGACACAGAATTCTCAGACTTGGGTTGATGATTATAAAACATCGTTGCATACGGTAAGCTCGGTTTTCCTTTACAGATTAATTGTCTCTTCATAGGAGAACTTTCCTGCGATGATTGTTCAGTTATGTAAATCATGGGGGGTCGCATGGTTTACGCTCATTTTCTATTGACTGCTCATATCAGTGCTCCAAACGTTTCAGCATGTTTTTCCTGATAAATGTGAGCAGTTTGAATGTAAACCACCACAAGTCACACGATAAGTCGCGTTGCCGTCAGACTGACTGTCCGTTGGCCGACGATGGTTGTCTTTATGTGATTTGAGACATTTGAATCATTCAAATCTTTTGACTGTTTGACTTGCCACCAGCAATTAGGGCTACGTGACCTGAGTAACTGAGATATTATCAGTGCATATACTTGTGTTTTGGTTTTTTTCCCCCTTTTCTGTTGCATTGATTATTGTTTTATGTTCTCACACCTTTCATAATCAGTGTCTTCATCATGCAAGGGTTTTGATTGAGAATAATAAACTTGTGAGTTAGGATGAATTTTCTTCAGCTTCACTGCAGGAATAAAGACATATTATTCTGTCTTTCAAGATGAGCTTTAGGGACTTGAGATGAAATCTACGATGTTCACAGAGGTGTAGTTGCCGTCCCTTGGCACTCCAGTCCCCCAGAAACACCACCAGATATCTTTTTATTTTATTTTTTCTTTTAAGAGTTAGGATTGTATGATGTGTAAGAGTAAGTATAAACAATAAAATCACAAAGTTTATTTTAATTTACACTTGTCGTTTGTATTTATTTGTCTTAATGTATGCTAAATAAATACTCGTTTTAAATCCAAGCTCCTTGCACTCTGCTTTAGAAGAAAACCTCAGTATTTTACTGTGATACAAGCTGCATGTGGAGATGTGGAAATATACAAAGTTTTTACAGCTAATGTAGTTGTGCTGTTATCACCACAGCAGAAAAAGCATATTTAACTGTCATAAATGACTTTTCTATGATTTTTTTTTTTTTCACATTTTTGTAAAGCCTTTGGAGGTCTTGTTCTGATCTTTCAGCAGTTTGACAGCCCTGCCCTAAGACAGAGGGGCGTCACAGGTCAATAAAGGTTATCACCTTTATCCATACTACTTTCAGATCTCCCAGAATGCTTCTGTCTATAGAACAAGGGCTAACTTTGAGTATGAAAATGCCTCTGCACTCATGAAATCATTCCCAGGTCAACACGTACAACACCAAAACACAGAATAAGGAAATATCTTTTGAAGGAATGACTCAAAGCCTTTCTCTAGCACATGGAGACCACGTAAATTTTTTCATTTATTCTGTTATCTGTCTGAATAATATCAGTTTGATATAGGATATTCCTGTGTTATTATATGTATAATTAAGCCCGTTTATTTACATGTATAAGATATCCATCCTACTTCCATCATGATTTAGTCATTAAAGTTAACAATTACAAGTTATACTCTAGGCAGTAGCTTTGTTGTTTGATGTCATCCAGTGTTTAATAAAGGGCAAAAAAAAAAGTTAGACCTCCTCTCGGGGCCCTGTGGGTTTATACTGATGTGCCTAATGGACCTTAAGATAACTCTTTATTGTCATTGCACAGTCATACATAGTACAATGAAATTGGAAAACTGTCCTACGTCGGCACTACATATAACACAACATGACCCGATACGACACATCACAACGCAACACAACACAGTATAATAACTTAGTAATAAAAAAGGAGAATAAGTGTATTTGTATTGCACACTGTTATTATAGCACATTAATTGTTATTGCACCTTGTTATAAATATAAATATTATTATTGTTACTGTTTTCACCGTTGCTACCTTCTCTTCTCCCCCCCCCAAAAAGTCCAGGGAGGTAGCCAGTCAGGTCAGCTGTTTGCATTGATCAGGGCTATTGCCCTGTTGTAAAAGCTGTCCTTGAGTCTATTTCGGAACCTCCTGCC